AGTAAGCAAAACCAAAGATACAAGACATCGATATCAATTTTAGTGAGAAAAAAATTTCAAAGAGGATAGTAATAAATTATATTTTAATAATTCGTTATTTATAAGAAAATATTGACTGAATTCATTATGTTCTCTTATCTGTGTTGAGACAATAGAGCATCAAATGAGTCACGAGACTTGACGATGGATAGGTTAGTTATCAAAAACATTGATATCTGAATGGTTAATGTACATACTGCAATGTACTGTGCAATTTTGTATATTACTATTTATCAAAATTAGAAAATATTAACGAAAACATGCAATATAGAGTGTTAACACATTCGTGAAACACTTTTTAAAATTTTCAGAAGCTAAAATAATGTGGCAATACAAAGATATTGAGCTTTTTTTACTAAATTACGAGTTTAAATTTACTAAATTACTAGCAATTTAAGTTTGCTTTAGATAAAGCGAGACGGAGAGAGAATAGAATCTAGCTCACTCTCAATTTTATTTTATCTATATTAATGCGAATTTCAATTGCTTATAAGTCATAAATATATATAACAAAATCGACATATTTATATTTGCTTTGGCTTCTATCAAAGATGTTTCACGAAACATATATATATTAACGTCTTGTATATTATATATTAATAGCAAATAGATTCAAAGAAATTTGATTTATACATCGTTATGTACATATACAAATTTTCACAATTGAACTTGTATTACGTGATTTGTTGCATAAAAGATCAGCGAATCTGTCGCGGTTAGGGTGAACATACGCAATCCGCGTACAGTGACATCTAAGGTGATGAAAAAATGTCAAGAGATGTCGGAAGTATCGTGGGCGGTAGCGGTAGCCCTCCACAATGCAGTTACACAATTACCATGTTTCTTCTTACGCAAGTCGAACGCTCCATCATTATCTATGCATCGAGGTCGTTGTGTAATAAAAACGTAGCACGTGATAATTTAAGGCAGTTTAGAACAAATTCTTCGATGCATAATTTTTACATATTTCAAATCTATTTCAAAATCGAAGGTAGACAGGCACGTGGTTCGTTTCGTTTTCAATGATGATAAGTTTGCACGTGCAACATGTTAATTGAGATTTTAAAAAAAAGTCCACTGAAAGTTTACACTGTTTGTTTATTTCTAAAATGCAATAAAGATCTTTTATTACAGCAACGATATTTACAAACGATATTTTTATTCAATTTATTTAAGCTCTACCTGTAATACAGTCTCTCTTCTCTTATAATGAGCACAACATACATGTGTACACGTATACATAAAATCGGTGTACAATGGGAACGACACGCATTCGAGCACCGCATTCTTGCATCGTATGAATCATTCCGCGAATAAAAAGACGATACTATTGCTTGCATCCGGCACAAATTGTTTTTTTTTTTTTTAAAGAATTGTTTCCTCTTTTACATATGTATATATTTATGTTTATTTTTCATCAATTAATTTCTATTTTAACTTTTAAGTTTTAATTTCAATTTATATTTTGTTTATTTTGATTTATATTTGCGAAAGAAGTAATGTTTGAAATTTGATATATCATGCTCGATGCTTATTTATTTTATATATTTTCTATGAGGAATATTTATTTATTTTTTTAGAAATAGATTCGTGCATATTAAGATCTGTTTAAAAACGAGTCTCAGATAAGATCAATTTTTCTTCTGCTCTATTCTTGTCTCTGCATACATCTGATACAGTTAAAACTCGTTTTGTATGCAAGATTCATACAAAAGAAACGCTGTATTGATTGTAGCGCGAAGATTGAGAATGGGCTGCCGCAATTTGCTATCGTAAATTTCATATATATATATGTATCTTTTTTCGCCATATTCGTCGGTCAACGATCCTCTGCCTTCCATTAATATTCTTTGAATGTCGACTAATATCCTGCAAGAAGGTGAAAGAATTTCCTTTCATAGCTGGCATTCTATAGGCACAATCTTCAACTCCTTTCTGAACTTTACTGTGATACATAACCATTATAATCCTGAATTTTAAATAGTTTATAATATTATTAAATTAAAACAGTTCAAATAATTCAGTCAAATTTCTTTTTGATGTTCTTTTTTTTTTTTTTAATTTTATAATTAAAGAATATATCTAAATGACAAGATTTATTGTTAGTATTCCAAAGTGCTCTTTCTTTTAAAGAAAAAATATTTTCGTAACGATTTTCTTTCCCGAATATAATAATTTCTATTTGTGATTGTAAAATAAGAAATTTTTCTTTCTTTTTATCCACAGTTTATCAACATTTAGAAATTCATTTTATAAATAATCGAAGTATCGATGAATGTGACTTAACAATGGATTTATAGTGATCCACATAATTTTTATATTATTTTAATAATCTATAAACAAATAATTAGTAATTACAGTTTATATGCATAATAAGAAATAATTCCACGTATCTATCTAAAAAAAAATTAATCTTAATCATTGTAATTAAACGAAATATGAATTATACAAGACTTCCTCGATCGTACTTCTCACCGATTTCGCAAGATGTCGTTAATGAAGTTACGAACGATATTGACGAGGGTTACCATAATAGTAGGCGAACCTGTTAACATTATATATATATATATATTTTTTTTAACTCCTTTCTCATCGAATTTCCGTTACCAATGTTGCACAAACAGTCCTAGTGGGCGAGTTTCCTGACAGAGTTCAACATCGGCAAGGTCGGTATGTTCAATCGTCCGGTTAAGATGCCTTGTAAGGAGGGACAGCGAGGCCGTTTCGTTCGAAAACGCTCCTTTCTTTCGGCCCTACATTCGTTTCTCGGAATCTATCGTTGTGTCGATCGTTGATCGCTGTGGGAAAAATGTATGTCGCGAGAAAGACACCTCAAGATATAACCATGCGTTATATAAATCGTAAAAAGAAGTTTGGCGGGAAATCTTGAAGGAAATCTTTCTCTCGATTATCTAGGTTATCTAGATATATTAGCATTAATGTTCAAATTATGTGCATAATGCGTATTTACCGACTATTGATAAACATACCTGTTTTCGTATTTTTTAATCTTTTCATTGTTTCAATGTTTCCATCGTATCATGTACTCAACCTTGTTACTCATATTTACGTAACAAATAGAATGAAATCAATTTGTTCTTCGTATATGATAAATAGGTACTACGTTATGTAATTGAACAGGTGATGCATACTTTATGCATCGATGAATATTTATTATTTACTACTTGTTAATTGAAAAAAATAATTTTTCTTTTTAATAGTTATTATTGTTTAAAATATTTACTTTTTCAGGACCACAGAAATTTCTGCCACCGTTAGTTTATCATTGGCGGTTGGGAAGATGTTTGGCAGCGCTACAAACGATCCTCGGTGTTGCTATTACTGTTTTATCATTATGGTTGCTGCTTTGGGCACCTCATTTGCCAATCACGGATAATCCTTATTGGAGTGGAATGCCGGTAAATATTCAATAGTAATCGACAATAATAATTTTTTTAATTTTTCTTCCTAGAAGAAAAATCAATGAATTAATGATCATTCTTTTCTTCTTTTATTTATTTATAGTTATTACTTTCGGGTAGTTTTGGTATTTGCCTGCTGTGTTGTTTCAAGAAGGAATATCCTGGTATGAGCCCTGGATTCTGTCTCACGTCGACCAAGGTGATAACTCATTAAATTAATTATAGTTTTATTAGATAAAATAATTAATAGCTTGTTCTTTCATCTTTTATTTATCACTTACATCATGATCTTTGAAGAATATATAAAATATCTTATTCCTGAACACACTGATCCATTTTTCATAGATTCTTCTGTATTTTCACATAATTTATCTATATTTATTTGATTAAATAATTATCTTTGTAACTTATATAACTTTCTTTTAATGAACTATTAAGTTATTATAAGTATTTAAAATATGTTTTATTTGAATATTGTTTGAATATAATTGATCTTTGTTTCTTTTTTAAACAGGTAACTAGCGTATTTTTAGCTATTCTAGCAACAGTGACGTGCTCCATCGCTTGCGTATTCTCTGCGATACACCTGGCGCGCTTAATGGGCCTGGAATGCAACCCAGCACGCGTATTGAATGCTACTTGCGTGTGCAAGCCCCGCGAGAGTGCATCAAATTCCACCGAAACGGCAGTTAGATACATTGACCTGAACTGTCCCGAAGTTGAGAGTATCCTGACCATTCTTCTAATTTTTTCCTCCACTTGCAACGCTCTTGGAGCCATAGTAACTGGCTGGTATACTTATTTACATTGGAGCACTAGGAACAAAAGACCAAAATACATGCAAGTCAGGACAAATCCGATCAGTGGGAACAATTTCCTGAGCAGTAGGCCAATATACAATCCAAATTTGAGCGAACGATGACAATCTTTAAACGACACTGATCGCAACGATATCTCGTATCTTCGTTATTCCTCGTTAACGATGGATGATGGAATATTTTGAAGAAGTCTCGAATAACGACAGAGTTTCTCATGGAACTGGACATGTGAACAGTAATAATGGATTTCACTCGTTAATGAATTTTTTTTTTAAATAATTAAAAGATTAATTATAAGACGGTTAATAAGAAAACATTAGTGTTTATTTATAAGAGATATCAGAAATAAAATATTGAAATACGTGTGAACTAGTCTCGGATGTGAAAATAGATCTGTGCATGATTTTTGATGATTATTTATAATGGACTTTTTGAAAAAGATTGTATTGATACAGTAGTATTTTTTTTAAATGCAGAGATCAAGATAAATAGGATAAAGATCGTACAATGGAATTTACCAATCTTAATGTGTTCTTAATATTTATTGTATTAAAATGTATTAAGTGATTCATAAATTTTTAAAACGTGATGAAACGTGACTCTATTTTAGATATTCATCAGTAATATAGAAGAAATTAATAAGCAATAATAATTTTTGAATTGAAACAATTTTCCCTTATGTAATTGAAGAATAAAATATTACTGTGTGAACGTATATACATATCATTAATATATGATTAATTAAGAAAAAGTTTCTTCCAATGATAGAAACATATTTATAAGGGAAAAAATGCGTCAATTTCTATAATATTATAAACGATGTAATAATTAATACAATAACGGGTCATTCCATGCGTGATTAATCTCCGTATGGATCGTCAGTATTTTAGATGTAATTAGCAATTATAATTGAATTGTGTTTTGTGTATGTGTTTGTATGTGTATGTTTTGTGACTATAAACAATAAGTAAATTACACACAAGAATGAATGAAACGATTTTAACTTGTTTATTTTAATGTTATCGATTTTATACCTCATCTTGAATACGTGTATTTTAAGAAATTTTAATTTTTAGAATCGTTCAAATCTGTAAAGAAGATGTTTTTATCATAAAAGGATAAATAAATTAATTATAGTTTTATTAGATAAAATAATTAATAGCTTGTTCTTTCATTTATCTCCTTTCACTTACATCATGATCTTTTGTAGAATCTTTTGTTTGAAAGTGATTTTCTGATTCCTTTTTGATCTCGTTTATGCGAATCTCTGGTATAATAGCATAATCACTGGATTGTAATTCCCAAGAATCGTGTAAAACTTTTATTAATCTGCTTAAAAATTTTTTATTAAGAATCAGTATTTATCAATTATATTTATTTTTTAGAATAATTTAATTTAAATTAAATTAATAATAATTTAATATAAATAATATAAAATAAATAAATAATTTAATTTAAATTTTAATTAATCAATCAAATTAAAAATTGTGATTTGATGTCCAACACTGTTTTTAATAATAATTTTTAAGAAATAAATTTAATAATATATACATAATAAAATAATATAATTTACATATAATTTAAATATAATTTTTTTAAATTAATAATTACTTGCTAGTAACTGGTTCTTTTTCATTATTATCACTTTCAGAAAATGTGTGTTGTGTTTGATCATGTAATATTATATCCTGTTCTATAAATTTATCTGTTAATTCTGAAGCTGAATTTTTCCTTTCATCTTCGTAAACTTTTATCGATGCATTTTCTATTTCTATAACTTCTGAATCATCTACAATTTTATTAATATTTTATTGAAAAAATTACATTATTTTAAATTGAATCTTATTGTTTACTTACCTTTAAGAATTTTCTTTATTATCGATCTTTTAGATAAAACTGGTAACATTTTTTTGAATTTCAAAATATCAGACATTTCTTCCCTTTTTTTCGCTATTTTAAATAATTTTCGCCGTTCTTCGGTACGTTCATGGCGCAATTGTATCTGAAACAAATAATAAATAAATTATTAAGTTTTCGTGATGAACAAAGTTAATAATGAATCGATAATTACCTTTAAATCATTATTAGCCTCTCTCAATGAACGGGTAAGTGATATCATATAATAAATAATAAGTATCATGAGAACAATTAATGGAATTACTATACCAGGAGAGGCAATATAATCAAGACACCTGAAACCAAAAGGAATGATGAATAAAAAATAAAAATTATAAAATGCAAAAAATACATAACGTTTCTCTTATTTAGTTTTTTCTTAATAAAAATAAATTTGCATAACTATACACATTTTATTATATAAATATATAATTTTAAAAATATTAAATACAATTTAATTCAATTATATCTACATACACAATACCTCTTAATTAAATCAGGAAGAGAATGAGTGAGCTTTTTCGTCACTACATGATAAATTTTCTTGTAACCAGAGAATGGACCGCAACACAATGATGGTTCTACCCAAACTATAGCATAGCCAACGGGTAGAACGCATAAAAATAACATTATTAACAATAAAGCAAAGTAAAAATTGTTAGATCTGAAAAAGAAAAATAATATTTCAAAATGTAAAGATAAATAAATAATAAATACAAGATTAGTGAATTTTTTGTTTATTTTTAAGAGTTGTCAAAAGAGAAATAATTTCTAAAATATAAATGTGTACCTGGAAGCTCGAAAAACTACTTCATGTGGTATATTACAAGTTATAACAGCCCAAGATCTAAGGTACATGAGAATTGCAAGTTTGAAAAGATTTAAAACTATTAATCCAGGACTAAAGAACATTCCCATCCATATCATCCCTTGATTGAGCACCAAATGAAGTATATTTTCAGCAATTTTGAAATCACCGTATTGAGGGAATTGTTTCTCAAGATCCCAACACCAGTAACCGTTCATGAATCGTACGAAGACAGCACGAATAAAATCTATAGTTAATGTATTTGCTATGATGATTATCTATATAATAAGAAAAAAAGAAAAAGAAAATTTTAATGTTCTTTGATAAAAGAAGAAATATTAATTCTTTAAACCTTAAAAGCAAAATTACTAGAGATGCCTATAGGTATTTTTTTAAGATTTAGCATTTCCAAATGTATACAAAATATTGAATCAAATCAATTTTATTAAATATCTTTTTAAATAATAAATCAATTTAAACATTTAAGCAATTTAATATTAAAAAAGAAGAAAGTGTTACAAAAGAAGAAATATTATTGTTATAAAATTATTCAATTATTGTGAGGAAGAATCTAAATTGATTCTATTTGGGATTCTAAAGGGATAAGTAACATATAATTAAAAAATAAATTCACCAAGTCCATTACAGTAAGCTTAACAAGTTCTTGTCCAAATACCGTTTCCCAACACGAATGGCAAAGCTTCTTTCGAGTTTTCAGATCTAATTCTTTCGATGAAGAAACTAAAATAAAAATAAAAAAAAATGTACAAAAAATTAGGATTAACAATTAAAATATACATATATGATATATAAACTATTTTACTTGTATTTGTATCTTCTGTAGCCATGCAAACGTATTCGAAACACTTTACGTATCTTGTATCTTTTTCTAATAGAGAAATCACACTTTCGCCTAGTGTTGAAGATTCAAGAATTGTAGAAATTTTATCAATCATTTCTGTAGAAATAGATTCCTCAGTAAATTTGTTCGTAATTGTCGCGGATTCGATATTTGTATTTAACGTTGTAATTATCAAATGTTGATAATTATCTTGTGTCGATAATGATGTTAAATATTCTTCCATTTCTGTAACTCCATCTCTCTCTGAATTTACATCGAAAGTTTCAATAATATTTGAATCAATATCTGTAGTTGTACTTATATTATAGTCTATTTCTTCAGTTGTTTCATCTGAATAAATTATAGATTCGTTGAAGGAGATACTAGTCATAAAAGTGGTATTAGTTTCTTCGTTCGAGTCTATAAAGGAAGTTTCGGTAAAATTTTTTAAAACAATGAAAATAGTTGTTGCACTGATGTTATCGTTTTCAATTATTTCCGTTGTAAAATTGACTTCCTCAGTTGTATTCTCGAGTGGAGGAAATGTAATTTCATTCGATTCGTTTGTTTTAACATAGTCGTAATTATCGTAATCTGCAAGAAGATAATTTCGAAATTATCTTCTAGGGCATTTTTTCTAGGAACTTTTCATCGAGTATCGAGTTTAGGTATAATTTTGGCAGAGCTGAATTATTCGAGAAAAAGATTCTTGTAATAAATGTTAAATATTAAAAGAAAAGGATTAGAGATTAAAAGATTATAAATAGAAAGTAGAAAAGGAAAAGCTATAGAAAAGAATAGAAAAAGAAAAATATATATAACTGTTATAAAAATGCGAATACATTTGAGAATAAAAATTTGAAGAATTATTTTCAATTTATTTTTAATAGTCATTATAATTGAGAATGAAAGTTATTGTTATTTTCAATTATAATATTGCAATTTCCAATTTAAAAAAATATTTTTTTTTATTTTACAAATTACTAGTTAACCCAATGCTTTTGATTGAAAAACTCTGATCTATTTGATGTAAGATTTATATTTTGGAAATCAAAAAAAAAAAAAAAAAAAGAAATAGAGATATAATAAACAAAAAAA